TAGCTAAAAGCATTTCCTCAACTTGGAAGTGAGCTCAACAATTATAACCCCAGAATTTCTTTCAAACAACATTTTTTCAAAGGTATAAAGACAAAGATGGTATAGCATTTTGTGTGGTCGCAGTCTCCCTTCGTCGTAGAGAGATTGTTAGACTTATTCATGAAAAGCCTTCATACTCCATGCTGTCGTTCTCACCCTATTCACACTTGTGCTGGAAATGTTGATCAGAGTCTGCCCTACTGTTACACAGTCCTCCTTCCCTAGGTCTTATCACAGTCTCTCTTTTGCCCCGTAAGATCCGTCTGCTATCTCCCTGTTTCAATTATTTACTCTACCCCTGCCACCTCATCTGTGCTACTCGAGGCGTTGTTTCACACACTCTGCCTCTAGGAGACTAATTTGAGGCTAAAGCCCCAGAGTAATTATCAAGTTCAAGACTTTGCTTCATGAATTACATCTGTTGTTAAAAAGGCAAGTGAATATTGTGATAGTGAACGGCTTTTACGAGGATATAGGATTAGGGATTAGCCCAGGGCGGAAGGAGAGATAACAGGATTATGTAGCAGATACTTGGTCAAAGGATCAGCTTCACTTGTTTCTTTGAGGAGTTGTGTTGTGGTGCTAAGACTTGCAATTCTCAATGGGGATGCCGGTGAAACGTCTGGGAATATTCCACGTCCATGGTCCGACTCTGGAAATGATCATGCATACTATAGACCCCAGGCTAGATGCGTTTCTCTAAGTCTTCCTACCAATATGACCAAGTTGCGCAACCAAAGTCAAACAAATTATAACTTTTCCTTACCTATCCTCGTTAATATCATCTGTACGTTATATTTTACAAATGGTCATGCTTATTTTTATTGAATGCTATATCATAACCATTTTTTGTCATGCTATTTTATTTTGTTATGGTCTTGTATTTTTAACTAATATGTCTTTTTCTTATGGAATTTAAATAGCTTATTTCATATTTCATTCTCAACCATGGTGATTATCACTTAATCCAGCATTGAATTGATGACTAATTTAATTCACAGATGTATCACAGATATTGTATTTGGCAACTTTACCTACACGCACAATCCTATACATTTAAGAATAGTGTTTATTCTCTGTAAAGGAAATATTTATTTTTAGCTTATATATAGTAGTCGAAACTGTAGTTTATTCTAGATGATAACAACTTTTGGGAAAGTAAGACTATGAGAAATTCGAAGGAAACGTCAGCTCTACGCATATCATTGTGGAAAATTCTACTACCAGTTTTTCATCACCTTACACGAAATAGGATGAAATCATCTCATATAGCACTGATTTTGCCTATAGAGCCAGCCTCCTAGTTAACTTAACTTCAATGAGGTTTATGAGAAACATTGATCATTGCCTCTTTTGAAGTATGTAGTAACCATCTTGTCTAAAAAAAATAGCACGATGGTTTATTCTGATTAATGACACGCCCAAAAAGTTTTTCTGTTTGCATCTAATTTTACTTTGTTGTATATCCATCTTTTTGCTAAGCATTATTATCCTGCTTGGATTAGTGTTTTCACCTCAGCGCTGAGTTCGCATACTCGGGAGAGATTGGAAGAAGGAGGATAACGTGTTTTATAGATAGGGAAATTTTCGTTATGAATTGAGATTGAGCGAAGAATATGGAGCACCAGGGACATGGGTTAAAAGAGGGAGGCAAAGATGCTAAAATCATTGCCTCTAGTCGACGATGCCGGTGAAACGTCTTAAAATGTACTAAGTCACCTGTTCGATGCTGAAAATTTTCATGACGGTTATAAAAGAGGATACTAGACCTGGTACATTCCTTTAAATATGCCTGTTGCCCCGATACAATTGCAAAAACGAGGTCAACCAACGTACCAGAGTAAGATTGTCAAAAAGGCAAAGTTGGATTTTACCAATACCATGGAGTGCGCTATTTATATCTTTAATAAATAAGTTTTGATAATATCTCTTAATCTGTACTTTTGATATGAAAGAGGCTTGGCTTCCCTTGAAAGTTATGTATGCTTTGGAACCCACAGTCTACTTAAAAGTCCATCAAAACTTCACGCATTCAATCCAAGTACAATTTTAATAGGGATGCTGACAGAACACAATCGCGTTCGAAACTACTGTAAATAACAGATGATACTATATTTTGGCGGGCAGAGTTAGGATAAATTCGATGGGATCGCGAAGCCTACTCATATCATTGTGGGAAATGTAAATCATCGTCACCTCTAGAACTTAGTACTAAACTTATTCACTAATTATCACTGGTATTGGGATTATTTATGAACTCTAGATAGTGCATATTATACGTGTGCAATTGCAAATTTCATTAAACGGAAATGGGGAGATTTAAATCAAATTGAATGTGCGGTCTGTGCTAAAGAAGACATTGATTGCTTATTCATTTAGTAATTGTGTATAACTTTAGCTTAAAGGTGCATATTCTTTTCCATACATAAGTAATTAAGAGCAGGCTTAGACAGGAAGAGAAATAGGCTGTTTAATTGAGCTTTAAAATGAACCAAATCAATCCGACCTAAAACCTAAGCGCCAGATGTATACATAAATAAATTATACGGGTTGATTAAGATACAAAATCTCATCTCTGATTCATAATCTATCGGCGTAGCCATAGAGGAACAAATGTGAAGGCACGCCAGGCGAGTGCACTTTTGCATAAAACACAAACTTTAAGAATGATGACCAGGATGTATGACGAATGCGACCTGGATTTTTTTAATAAGATGAATGTAGGGATAATATAGGAATTTCTTTGTTCCAAATCCGAGGCATTCTTATCTCAGAATCTAGCAGACTGAATGAGTTGGCAGAGTCTGATTGATAAATGAAAAAACATGTGGAATGAGGTTTTAAAGCAGACTAGAAAAATATGAGAGAAAAAGCTAGTACATTTCATTTTTATAGCTTTAGCTATGAAAATCATTATTTACTTGTATATTGGCCTTGTTTGAAATCTTGTATACTTTTTCTAGCCGTTACTGACTCAATTTGGTAGTAAATAATATGTTAACTTATGTATTATAACTGTCTAAAGATTAATAAGCGATTCGTTTTTAAAACTTTTATTAGGCATATAACTTTAATAACTTTAGTCAGCTTGACGCCATCTAACAGTTATTAGTAATTGGCAAAAATAATATACTCATTACAATTTAAATTAATTTTACCAGTCAATCTGTTATTTCTGGCAAAATTTCAGATAATTTTACAACTCAATTTATAGTGGAGTAAACCCTAGTCATTCTTCAATTGGGCTATAGTAGAGTGCTTTAAATAAATGGGGGACATAAATATGATTTTAAAAGTTAACAGTAATTTACAGGGATTAATTTCTGTCAAACTTTAATTTTTGGTATTTATTCTGACACCCAAATTTTTTATATGCTTGTCATCTACTTGCATTTAGCCTGATAGTTTGGTCTTTCTACCCTTCACTGATTCTGGCTCATCACTTCAAAGTGACAAGTTTATGTTCAAAGCTATAGAACCAGAGTTCAATTCAGATGCTGGCAAAAGCGGTGAGATAAACGCCAACTCTGGAGAGCCCAGTAGAATGGCGGACAATTTCGCTGCTGATAATGCTTCATTAAATGCGCCCGACGCTATGAGAAACGTTGGAGTCAAGTGGAATGCTGAACTGGCCACTACAGAAAGTAAGGTCTTGCCGACAATTGGAATGACCAGTCATATTGACGAAGCCAGCTTCGTATAGAAACCATCCTTGGAAGTACATAAAATTACAGATATAATTTTTTTCGATTCCATACCTCAGCTTTCGTCGATATCTGAATTATTGTGTAAAAGAAAGAAGACCTATGATTTAGTTTCTGGTACACGCTTAAAGGGTTAAAATTCACGATAATTTAAAAATTTATCATTTTTTTAATAAAAAGACGACCATGAAGAGCTTTTTACAGTCTTATCTTTCATTTTTGATTTCTGAAATTCTGTTCCGCTTACAAGGACGTTGAAGAAGTGCATACTAATCTGCAAAATTTACTGCATTCATACCTTCTAACAATATATATATATATATATA